GCTTCGAATTTACGACTGTTTTCCAAACATATTCGGCACAATTCGGCACGCTTTCGGCGGTTTTTATAGTTCAGTGTTTAACTGGATAATTATACTATTGAACAAGGAATATATTTCGGAAGTTTTTCCTGCTTTTAGCACAAAATTATTACGAAAGATATTATTCAAATTGTTTGCTATAGACCTATATATGCTCAATTTTGCTGTATTTCAAATAACTAATATATACTTCTTAAAAATGTGTTATGCAGTCTAATGCAGTATCCAACAAAGGTGAACCCCGGAAAATCCTAAGTGGGAAAAATCTGACCGTGGCTCGAGCCACTTTTGCCACGGTCTGGATCCACACCTGTAAAGAATGCTAATGAGGACATGACTACAATAGATACTACCTTATTAGTATTCTTTATAAATTATAAAGAATACTAATTAGCCTGATTGGATTTCTCCATTTTCGCCCGCCAAAGATTTACGCCATGAAAATTACAACTTTAGAAAACCCGCCAAAAGCACAAAATTTCTTAATCACACAAAGTCCTCCAGCCCACCAATCTGCTGCATTTTAATTTTTTTACGCCATGGGTATCGGAATCCAATCAGGCTAATTAGGAGTGTTTTATCAGGTTTAAAGCCACTGCACGTGACATATTATGGTTGACATGATTTGCCAATAAGCTTATGAATTATTAATGAGTGTTTGAATTATAAATTTATACTTACATAAATGACCATGTATTGGACTTAATTTATGTCACTTAAATTAACATACCTTCCGCAGTTTTGTCGTGTTGCTGAGGTGCTTTAACTTTTCTCCATATATTGTACATCGTGAAAAATAATACCGCACAATGTGCGGCACAGAACTTCATTTAATTAATAGATGTCGCCATTTTGCATTTTTGGCGCGAACAGCATAAAAATGGGGCAATACTTCATGTAAGCATAATTAGACCACAGAATTTAAGAATTAGAATTATTCTATGTCACGTGTTGAATATCGAAATCATCGATACTGAAAATAGTATCGATACCATCATAACCCATCATACCAACCCTTTCGATAATTACGCCACGCATACTTTTGAATTTTGGTCTTGGAGCATCGCTCTCATTTATAGTGAATTACGCAAAGTGATTGCCTCACGATTCATCATTCATGAGCAGTGGCGGAAATCTTGGGGGGGGCGGAAAAATTGATGAATTTTCGGAAATTTTGACCTAAAAGTGGGCTAAAAACAGTCTTTTCGAGTGCAAATGGGGGGGGTATGTCGGAAATTTAAGAGGCTTTGCCCCCACCCGGAAAAAGTGAATTTCCGCCACTGTTCATGAGAGCAAGGCTCCCAAGGCCAAATGAGGTATAAATTATCGACAGTACTGTATTTTGTATATAATTGGTTTACAGACTTTACACTGTTGTGGTGTTGCCATTCTTGTCAATGTTTATTGTCTAGATGTCTATTTGTTGTTCTGCTACGTGTTTTTGACAAAGTTTAATAAATAAATAAATAAATAAAACAGATTAAAATCAGCAGTTGAGAAAATGCGGCCAGAGATCAGTGGTCAATTAAACCGAGTCCGAGTCACTGAATCCGTGCCCGAGTCAAATGTCACTGTTTAGTGGTCTTTGTAGTTCAATGACTTGGTACCCTAGTCCTAACTCCTACTCCTAACCCTATTCGACTGTGAATTTTCTTCAATCTCCTTTTCGGGTATTTCCAGTTGGGTTCGTAACTTCGTATTCTGTGCAAAAATCGTCAAAACCCTCTGGGTTGCCCCAGCCCACCCACCCCTCACCCACAATTTCAAAATAATTTCCCGTAAATTATATTTTATTTTATATTTTATTTATTCGTCGTTTCGCCTGCCTGGTTCACACTGGTCGTAATTTATCGGCTATCAATTGTATTCTTTTCCGACAGACAAAGCATTTTACACACCAATGATCACAGACAAAGGAAATCCCCGATTCTTTAACGACCAGTGTGAACCAGGCTTAAATTCCGTCAAGTTATTATATATAAGTCAGTGGCATGAGAAGAAACAAAAAAGCTGTCGCCATTTGTGGCCATAGCAACGCTTGTTCAGAAATAATATTTCCATTTGGCATTTTCTAGATACATATGGAAATTGTACTTCAATAAACTAAGTTTAGTCGTGGCCTAATAGAGTATTTTGTTGTATTTCAGTCTTCTGGCTATTTTAGATTCATTTGTCATACCAGGAATACTAAGATGGCGGATTACGTCGACGAAGCTCATCATATAGTCGATGTAGCAATTGAAAATGCTTGCAAACGATTGCTCGAGGAACCCAGTTTGCAAAACAAGGAAAATGATAGGGATCTTAATTATAACGGAAATGGTGATTTAGTTGCCAAAGAGGCAAAAGATATGTACTTAGATAAACTTGGTAAAATAGACAGTAAAACGTTTGCTGAAATACCCAACATAACCTGGATGAGTATAGGGGATTTCACTGTGGATGGTGGACTGAACAAAATAGAACAATTCATTGAGGTTTGTGTGATATTAGCTGACTTCTTATTAGAAGACGGATTTCTGTCTGAGATGGAAGACGAGAAACTCATCCAGATATAAATTCGGTCAACATGCAATGAGTTTTTCATCTCAACTTTTCCATCTAACTTTCCCATCTGAACGACAGGGAAGTTAGACGACTTATCTTGTCTTGTCTTAGAGACAGTCTTAAATTTATATCAGACGAATAAATCAAGACGGGTTTCAGCTCATAACGTAGAAAAGAGACTGGGACTGTCTTATGTTTTTGTGTTTATCCGTCCGATGGTTTTCGTTTCATATTAATACCTAAAAGACGGAAATCTAGCTGTCACATAACTTTCTTGTCTAAGACAGAAATCTGTCTTCAAATATGAATTCAGCTATTGTATTGCATAGTATACAAGAAATGAATGTTTATGAGTGCAAAGGTAAAATAATTTCATGAAGTGAATTGGTGAAAGATGTGGTTCCCAAATGAAAATATTTTTACTATATAGACCTTTCCGGTAACGTCACAACTACACTGTTTTCAACTTAGGACCACCTTAAATTGAATTTAAATGAAATAGATTTTAAGTTCAAGTTCTATGGTCAGAGAAGCACAACATCCTTCATTATTCAACACATGCATAAAAAATAATTTGGATTTTGACTATTAAATGTGGAAAGTAACAAGCTTAAACACGAAAACGAGGCTGAGCCCCTCTGCCTCATTTTCGTGTTTAAGCTTATATCTGCATTTATTTGTCAAAATCCAAAATTCTTTTTGTGGAAGATATCAATGTGTGGAAGAAGGATATTCTGCTCCTTAAAATCCATTCCATTTAAGGTGGTCCTAAGTTGAAAACAGTGTTAGTCGTGACGTAATTACCGGAGAGGTCTATTGGGCCATGCATTTCATTTAATATGTGCACACCCCCCATCTTAAATTTTCCTAGAGGGAAGTTTGGGAGATTTTAAAAAAATGGCAAAAATTAGGGGTTTTAGTGATATATCCATTATCCAGAAGGGGAAAAGCAATATACTAAAGGGATTATAGTGAGATATCCTCTGGGGTAACTTCCACAAAATGCATCCAAGGGGTTTCGAATTTTTTATATCCTAAGGGTATTATGAAGGGATCCCTCAATAGAGAGGAGGGGGGTGCATGAGAAGTATATATGGCCCATTTGGACAATGAAAACAGTCATTCATTATTTGTTTTAATTAAATATAACGCCAATTGATGAAAATAAATCAATGTTATCAATTTTTGTTGAATTAAATTCAAAACTAAACCTGAATTGCGTGCAGTACGTACAACGTTTCAATTCAATAAAAAAATCCAATGAATATGTCCCAAGCAATGTTTGAGTTTAGAGTTATGATGCAAAAATGCCATTCATTTACATATGACTCAACATTTAGCTATTTGACAGATGGAATTAAGCCTGGATATATAACCAAGCTAGGTTCCATTATTTATGAATTTAACCATATAGAGTATGGGACTTCGGTGGCATAGTCACCAGAGCAAGCACCTTTCACCTCTGAGATTGTGGGTTTGATTCTCGCTATAGACTCATGCAGGGCTGGAAAAAGTATTGGACCATTAGGGACCTAAAGAAAATTTTTTGGGTCTAGCTATTTTGCAGGCTGCGCGTCAGTTTTTGCGGGCTGCAGGTTAAAACAATTGCGGGCCGCGGGCCAAATTTCTGGCCTAACTAATTTTTTGTTGTATGCCATATATGGCATGCAACTTTCATATATAGCTCTAAATTTTGTGTCGCGGTGAGCGTACCGGTCACGTGGAAATTCGTAAAATACGACAAATACCGAGTTTTTCCGACAAGCAATTCATCACTCATGCTCGAGGAAAGGGAAAGAAAAATGTTTGAGTGTTCGCGGAAAATTTACATAATTGAGCGCCTTAGAAAAATAGATCAAGGTAGGTAAAGCTTTGCTGGTTTTAATTTTCCTTATATTCTGTTATTTGTTGTGATTCTGGAGCAGTTGTGCTTGCAATGAATGATTATTTATCAGTCGTTTTTAATATTTAATATATCAAAGTGACAATATGACCGGCAGCCGGTCACGATTTATCAAATACTAAATGGCCGGCAGTCTAGTGACTAAGGTCTAGCTATTTTGCGGGCTGCGGGTCAGGTTTTGTGGGCTGCGGGTTAAAACAATTGCGGGCCGCGGGCCAAATTGCTGGTACAAATTGAGCGTACCGGTCACGTGGCAAATTCGTAAAATACGACAAATTCCGAGTTTTTCCGACGAGTATTTCATCACTCATCAGGGCTCTCATTTTTAAGGAAATTTCCTTAAACTGAGGAAATTTTGACCTTTTTAAGGAGACTTTTAAGGAAATAGAATTTTTAAGGAATTTTTAAGGAATTTTGAGTTGAAAAACACTCCAAACAATAATTAGTTATTACACTGTTTGTTATACTTATAAGTTATATGAAAGTTTTGGGCAGTAGTTTTTACTGAAATCGCTGATCATCTTCAATTTTATTGTTCGTATTTAGTTCTTTAATTAACGCCCGTGGAGGTTGAATCTGAGCTTTCTCGAGTGTCATTGCTGTGTTTGAAATTTTGAATAGCTGGAGGGTTAGTGTCGTACCTTACTATGTGACCACTCACCCTCCAGCTATTCAATAACAGCATTAACACTCAAGAAAAGCTCAGATTGAACCTCCACTCGGTGAGTGTGAGTGAGCTTTTAGAATACGGGCGTATGTTTCTGAATGACTTTGACTCACTGTGTTTTTGAAGCGCAGTTTTCGAACTCGAAACTTTTTTGCAGCAAACTTTGCATGATGGTTCGTCGTTCGCGTTTTATTGGTGCAACAAGCCAATGTTTAAAAGTAGGATATTTGTCCATTCCGCTCGAAATTTTTGTTTATACTTTTTTCTTCAATTCTAGTCTTTTTTGGAGCGCTTCCCTTGGATTCAAAATCAGAAAATTCAGAATCCACCATTTTCCGATGTAAAAAAGTTATATTTATATATTTTCGCGCTATTTGCGCCTATGATCGCGCGCCACTGGAGTGTTCCTCAGAGACAAGGCCAAGTCTAAGGAAATTTTTGTCGATTTAAGGAAATTTTACCGCTGAGTCTAAGGAAAATTTGGAATTCCGTTCTGAGAGCCCTGTCACTCATGCTCGAGGAAAGGCAAAGAAAAATGTTTGAGTGTTTGTGGAAAATTTACATAATTGAGCGCCTTTAAAAATAGATCAAGGTAGATAAAGCTTTGCTGGTTTTAATTTTCCTTATATTCTGTTATTTGTTGTGATTCTGGAGCAGTTGTGCTCGCAATAAAATATTAATCATAAAATGAATGATTATTTATCAGTCGTTTTTAAGATTTATATCGTGAAGCCTGGCTACGCTATCAAAATACTCATTTTTTTATATATGCTCAATATATACTATATTGTGTGCAAAACGTCAAAACTACAGTACATTTTGTAAATGACATGAAATATATTAAAATATCAAACAAAATTCTCATTATACTATTGAAATTTAATACAACGAAATAGTATTCTACGTCGATAATTTCAATCATAGTTTAATAATTATTTTCAATCTATAGTAATTCGCCGTTTCCATGTTTTTTTTGTTATACTTTCGATAAAGCTACAATAAAGCTAAATTTGTAGGAAATAACATTATTTAGTTATAAAATAGTATAAAAGGAAATCTAACAGTCAATCGCTTTCGATAAAACCTTGACCTTGTTTATATTACCGTCGTTTGCAACTAACGATGAACAGTCGCTCATAAAAACATTGCCTATTCGCGTGAGAATCTTAAGTTTTCTTATTTTGACATAATAGCTATTTTTCAATAAATATATTGATATTAAACTTATTGAATCAATATTTTAAGTTTCAGGCCAGTTGTAGCAAAAGTTATAAGCGGTAGCGCATTATAACCAGGGCACAGAAAGGGTCATACAGAAGCCCAATTTCTTGGTTTTTCCTATGATTTTCCAATGATTTTGGCGGTTAGCACTTTTTTCCATCCAGCAAACCGCCCTATCGATTTTCTAAAGTCGTTTTTTTGCATTTTTTTATTAATTCGATTAGGGTTAGAGTTGGGGTTAGGGTTAGGGGTTACTGGGTTAGAGTAGGGACTAGGTGTAGGGTTTGTGTTAGTTACATAGCCATTTAAAGGCCGCTTTCCACTTCAACCGTATCGTACACGCGTAAAAACGCTCAGGTTGATGCAATACTGATGAAAACAGGATTGAACAATGTTTTGCTGCCCACATTGTTCATAGCTGTCAACAATATTGAACAATATTCAGGCTCAACAAACTATTGTTGAGCCTGAATATTGTTCAATATTGTTGACAAGTGTGAGCAATGTGGGCAGCAACACATTAGGGCCATTTATACGGAACAAAATAAGACGCGACTTACATAAGACGCGACTTAAGTAAGACGAGAGTTTGTCGTATAAAAGGTACAAAATTCTTATGTAAGACGCGTCTTGGATAAGACGCGTCTTACATAAGAACAGGTCTTTTAGCTGTTCTTATTTAAGTCACGTCTTAAATAAGAAATTTTGTACAAAAAGTCTAACTACACATGCCAGAAACTTGAAACAACGTAAAATTTAATGCCTTGCATATTAAAACAAAAACAACCAAAACAACATTATAGCTATAGCAAATAAATAAGACCAAAGCCGTAGAGAACCATTTATGCGATAACTCCACTTATTTAAGTCGCGTCTTATGTAAGTCGCGACTTATTTTGTCACGTATAAATGGCCCTATTGTTCAATCCTGTTGAGCAGCGGGCTCGGCGTTTTTTGCCGTGTACCGAAACGTAGCGTATTTCTTTGTTTCCTGAGCGCTAGAGTGGAACTAATGATTTCAACACAAAAGAAAATGCTACGATACGGTCGAAGTGGAAAACAGGTTTAACACCTCTTCTCTCTTCCGAAAACGACGTCAGGTCAGTTTGCTGAATGGAAAATAGTGCTACTATTAGGATTGGTGTACAGTTATCCCGGTCGAAACAGGTTTTAATGTCTGGTACGACTCATAAACTGAGATTCCATGATATTACAAAAAGAATGAATTTAAGGAAAAATTCGTATGCATATGATTACGAATAACATTAGACATAGAATATACTTCAAAGACAGAAAATTTTGAATAATATTGTTATTTTCTTTACATTTTGACAATATTTTTTTAAAAATTCGTCAGGCCCGCAACTAGACCCGCGGCTTGCAATCGTGTTAGCATTTTTCTGCCCACAACCCGCATTTTTCGGCCCGCAACCCGCATTTTTCGGCCCGCAGCCCGCATTTTTTGGCCCGCAGCCCGCATTTTTTGGCCCGCAGCCCGCAGTTTCGGCCCGCAGCCCGCATTTTTCGGCCCGCAACCCGCAGAATAGTTAAACTCAAATTTTTTGAGTTCCCAGAAAAATTCCCCCAAGAAAGAAAAATTTAATTACCGGTATTGTAATAATTAATTTAGATGAAAAGGAGAAATTCACAGGAAAATTCACACCATGACCTCAGAAATACAATTATATATTAAGTGCATCTGTGCATCCATATTAATAGGGTGACAGTGCATG